GTTATTCATGCACCGTAAAATCAACAAAATATTCATTGAAGAAAGACTATCTTAACTACTCGAATATTTTTCAACCCTTTATGGATTATTCCATGCCCTCAAAATATTTTTCATATGTTTTTAATACTTTTAATTATATTAAATTTTAGTTTTAGCTGGTACTGGGTATTATAAGATTAGTGACGTTTTATTAGCAAGGAACACCGATCCGTCACTAAATTTGGCGAGAAAAATATTTTTAGGAGTTTTAGAGACGATTTAGAACGGATTTGCTAGGGAATATAGCTACAAAATTGCTTATCCGTCGATATTTTAAATATTTGGATTTAGCGATAGAATATCCATCGCTAAAATAAATATCCCTCGTAAATTAGCGACGATAAGGCTCGTCATAAAGGTGAAATATTGGATAGACCTTTTGAAAGTCAAAACTATCAAATTGGCGACGGACACATACATCTATAGCTAAATGTAAAAAATAGGCGATCAACTTTAATTAGTTAGCGAGTCCATTTTTTGACAAATTAGTGATAAACGTAAGTGTCCATTGCTAATTAGCGATAAATCACCGAGGAGATCGCGTCCATCACTATTTTTCAATCTCTAATTAAACCTTTTTCCCCTTTCTCTTATAGCGTTTTCTTCTTCCTTTCCTTCTTCAACCAATGGCCTCGTCTCCCCCTTTCATACCACCATCAAATTTCACTCCACTCTTAATCAATTCACACCTACACCAATCTCTTTTCTCTAAAAAAAAAACCTTTATTTTTCTTTCCTTCTTATTGGTGTAATTCACCCGAATTAGGTAATTTTTTTCTCTCTCTTATTTTCTTGATTATAGTAAGTAATTTTTTGTAATTATTAGGTTAATTTTAAGTTTAATTGCTTGATTTATAATTTTATATATATTTAATTACTATTTGCTTGATTTATTTATTAAATTGTTAATTTTATTTAATTTCTAGGTTAATTTATTGATTAATTTATTAAATTATAAAATTTTGTTAAATGTTAAGTAAATTTATTAATTAATAGTTATTTAAATTTAATCAAAATTAATTTTTATTTAATTTAATTTAATTTATTTTTAGTTAATTAATTACGTTATTTTGGTTTAATTGATTGAATTTTAATTTTATTTATACTAGAAATTATTAATTAATTGTTGCTTTAAATTTAATTTGGTTAGAGTTAGAAATAATTTAGTTGATTTGATTTATTTTTAATTAATTAATTAGGTTAATTTTTTTCAACTGTTGAATTTTAATTTTATTTATATTAGAAATTTTTAATTATTTTTTTAATTTAATTTAGTTAGAAATAGAATTAATTAATTTAATTTGATTTATGTTTAATTAATTAATTAGGTTAATTTTTTTAATTGGTTGAATTTCAAATCTATTTAAACTAGAAATTATTAATAAATTATTATTTTAAATTTAATTTTTTTAGAATTAGAATTAATTAAGTTAATTTTATTTATAATTAATTAATTAACTAGTTTTTTTAATTGGTTGAATTTTAATTTTATTTATATTAGAAATTGTTAATTAATTTTTATTTTAAATTTAATTTGCTTAGAGTTAGAATTAATTAAGTTAATTTGATTTATTTTTAATTAATTAATTAGCTTAATTTTTTTAATTGGTTGGATTTTAATTTTACTTATATTAGAAATTATTAATTAATTTTTATTTGAAATTTAATTTGGTTAGAATTAGAATTAATTAAGTTATTTTAATTTATATTTAATTAATGAATTAGGTTAATTTTTTAATTAGTTGAATTATAATTTTATTTATATTAAAACTTGTTAATTTATTGTTATTTTAAATGTAATCGAGTTAGAATTAGAATCAATTAAGTTAATTTTATTTATAATTAACTAATTAATTAATTAATTATGTTAATTTTATTTGATTGGTTGAATTATAATTTTATTTATATTAAAACTTGTTAATTTATTGTTATTTTAAACTTAATTAGGTTAGAATTAGAATTAATGAAGTTGATTTGATTTATATTTAATTAATTAATTAGGTTAATTTTGTTTAATTGGTTGAATTATGATTTTATTATATTAAAAATTGTTATTTTAAACTTAATTAGATTAGAATTATAATTAATTAGTTTAATTTTTTTGTATATAATTATTGAAGTGTACTCGTGATACATCGTAATGTATCGAACAAGAGGGGTCGAAGACCCTCGGGAATTGATGAGAAATAAGGTTGGTTTAATGCTTTGGCATAAAAGCTAGGAGATTGAGTTTAAGATTTAATTTCAATAGAGTATCCGAGATAATTATCGATCTTGATGTACGCAAATTGATTATTGGTTGATTTATTTCAATGTCTATGTGATCATTAGAAGTATTTATTAATTGAGAAATGTGCAATTTACATGGGTGACGTTGGTGAAATTTTGTTAGATGCTTAGGAAAATTATTAATTAAATAATTTTTTGTTGCCTCATAAATGCTGAAACAAAATAATGAGGTATGATCGTACATGGATGTATATTAGGTGTATCGATAGATATTTAAATAATAATTTTGTGAATAGGGTTGAAGAATTTGCTATATTTGGTGTTACTCATCTTGAATGTATAGACAATATAAATTAGGTCATAACCCAAATATTTGCGAGCTATTCATGATCACTCACAAGCGAAAGATGGGTCATTTTTCGACGGGTGATCGTAAACAATAATGGTAAGGTTTTTTAAATATATATACATCTATCAATATAATCTAAAAATATATTTATGATTTTATATTATAATTATTTTAATGACATAAGTAGTGTGCAATCAATTCAAGAAGCAAATGCTAAGGAGTGGTAGGAGGGTGACTCATCGCCTCCTAATATCAACATATCCAAGATATATTTGGATGGTGTCGGAGCAAAGAAAAAGCAAAGAGTATATAACATCGGATCTTATGCGTTCCAATATTACTCACATTTTGGCGCTAACTCCTCTGCCACTTCGTGGATCCCGGTGGTAACATCTATGAGAGTTTTGCCTAATACAAAGATAGGATCAAGGGGATAGAGGCTATCATCCAGCAATAGGCCAATCAAGTTAGTACCATACGAGTCATTTGCGGTAGACTCGCATCCCTCATGCTCGATCCTCTCACAACCCAAGAGTTAGCCGTTCCTCTCATCATCCAATTGCCGAAAGATAGTGCAAGAGATGATGATAATGAAGACTAGATTTCTTTTTTAACAAAAAAGTTTTTAATGTTTTTGTACACTTTAATGCATTTATATTTATATTTTATTTCAATTTATACTATTTTAATTTTATTAAATAATATATTGTGTTTCAATAAGGTGATGTTTATAGTTGTTTGTTATTACAATTAACAATATACGAGTTATCGATTAAAAAATAAACATTCTTTCGTTTAGTGAGGGAATTGCTAGAATATTTAGCAACGAGATAAATATATAGTAGCTAAATAGTGACATAATTATAATGATTTTAGCGATTATAATTTAGCGACACTCATTCCGTTGTTATTTAGCGACGGATATAAGTGAAAATAACGACGAGCATGACGACGGATATAAGACCTTACAAACGATTGCTTTAGATTGATTTAGTGATGGAAATTCAAAGTATTAGTGACAGAAAATCCATCGCTAATCACCAACGAAAACAAATTTCGGTTATAAGAAAATAACAATCACTATATTAACAACGGAATTCATATTGTCTTTAATTTGTCGTTAATTATGTATAATGATAGCTTTTTAACATGTAGCAATAGAAAAATCCGTCTCTTGTATACAGAATTTCTGTTAGTGATTTCTTCTCTCCATAGTTGTTAGTATCCTTAGCTGTTAGTAACTGTTGTAACAGTTTGTATTTAGCCAAAACTCATACCTATGTGTATATATGCATGTCCTCTATTCAATGAGAATGCAAGGCAGTAGGCTTTATTTCTGTTCACGAAGTTGGATGGCCATTTAACTGGAGCAAACGTGATGTACCCCAGGCTGGTCGATCGTATTCATAGGGTAGACAAAAGAAAATGCCTAAATTAATAAAGCCGTATTATTAAACGACCAACAAGATTTTGCAACAGCGCAATCCATCTGTTCTAATAATTCACGAGTTTATACAATATGATTTTGAAACACACATTCTTCAACGGTTACTTGACTTGTCCAAAAAGTAGAAATCGATCAAAATAAATTTAGAAAGCATGGTAATAATTGACATAATTTATTCAGGGTCCACTAATAGGAAGTGAGAGAGAGAAAGAACAAAAAAACATTCTTCATTGCTAGCAGAACTCGTTAGTTGTTAATAAAATTGATGTCTTCGTTAATTCCTATATGTATAGAATGCAAAAAATGAATTTCAGCAATGAAGGCCAAAGCATATATAGGAACTTATATATACAGGATAGAACTCCATTTTTTTTCAATTAATAAGCTTTTATTAGTAAATGATTCCTCCAATGTTTGAATTATATTTATATTGATTGAAATATTTTTTTCAGTGAAAATTTTTAAATCCCAACATCGATCAAGCGAGAGACAACATTTAATTTGGTCTTTATCAAACCAGACACAATTAAAATAAAAAAATAAAAAAAAAAAAAAAACAAAAGACGTATACCAGCAACTATTAATGTATATAGGACAGACAGGGAAACAGACATATAGCTAGCTAGAGGGAGAGGACAAATATGATCCTATTCCAAGAAATTTAATTTCTTTAATATTTTTATCAAGAAGAACAAATTAAGAAAGAAAGAGAGAAGAAACCGAGTAACGTACGTACCCCCACCACTTGTCTAGACTGTAAATTAATAATATTACAACTTCACCAAAAAAAAAAAAAAAAAAACACATAAAGAAATTTATGATCCAAAGAACTTGCAACTTACAAGGAAAGGATACACAATAAAGAATAACAAATCTTTTTTTTTATGAAACCTTTTTCACAAAGACGTACGGGATTTACTTCTTGATGATGATGAATCATGGCTTTGGTGGTTCTGCTTCCTCCACCTTGGCAGGTGGCTCAGCCACTGGTTCAGCCTTCTCTGAAGCCTCCGCTACTGCTGCCTCTTCTTTCTTGTCTTCCTCAACTACTATCTCCTTCTCTGTGCTAGTAGTTGTTTCTTCCGTTTTTGTTTCAGGTGCTGGTGGTGGCTCGACTGCCTTTTCCTCTGCCGGAATAAAGATTGAGACTTTTTCAAAGACGAAGAAAACTGGACCTGAAACATAGGCTGGTCCATGTTTTGAAGATGCTTCAGATACTAGTTTTGATCCTGGAAACTCTGTGCATGCAAAAATATGGCAAAGTAAATTGATAGAGATCATGACAATAATAAAAAAGCTTATGGATATTAAAGAAATAAGAAGCTGTGTGTGAGAGAGAGAGAAAGAGAGTAAATTTTCTATACCGATTTTAACAAGCTCATCAAGGAACTTTTGAACTGAAGAAGAGTGCTTCTTTAATCCTGCTTCTTTGGGATCCTTAACTAAGGTCTGTTTCAAGTAAAAATAATTAAAAAGGTCCTGTTTATTAGTATTTTGTTTCATGTATAAAATAGGTAGATTGAAAAAAATGACTGACCTTGATTTCAGCTGATGAAGCTTCATAGATTTCTATCACTTTTGGTTCAAGTTCAGTCTTCTTCTCTTCAAACTCCTTGCTGATTTCTTCCTAATAAAGCAAGAGAGATAGATACATATTGCAAGTTATAAAATAGATATACAGCAGTAAATCTACATGCAACATATATAGTAATCTTTTGTAAGCTTCCAGCTAGTTATTATAATTGTTGTAGAAGAAGTAGAAGAAATTCAAGAAAGTCATCAAAAAAAGAAAAAAAAAGAAAGAAATTCAAGAAGTTTCAAGTTAAAAGACTACGTACGTACCTTAGACTCATCAAAGGTCTTGGTAGCTTCAGCTCCAGCTGCCTTCTTGGCACTGTCCTTCTCAAAAACCTTCTTGATCTTTGGAAGAACCTTTGATTTCCAATAACCCATGTCTCTTCTCTCAACTCAACAAATTAATGCCAAACAACAAATCTATCCACACACACACACCAAAAAAAAGGAGCAAATATGAATAAGAAGTTAGAGATCAAAGAGAGAAAAATACTTAGAAAAGAAAGTCATTGCATCAAGTTAATGAGTAAAAATGATTTGAACTTATCCATTTACATGATACAAATATGAAGAAGTATATTTATGAGGCAAACATAAATTCATACAAGTAGAAGAAGCAAAGTTGATGAATTGTCTAGGTAGGCAACCAAAAGAATCTGTGTATATCCTTCTCACTTACATTCAAACCCTCTGTCACTGCGCTATCCTTGAGTCCACCTCAGTGCAACTGTTACAGCCACCTGTCCCTCCAAATTAAACCACATAATGCTTAAGACCATGGCATCATATAGACATACTTGCAACAAAAAAACCCTTTCTTTTCCTACTTAATTACCAAATCATACCAACTTATTCGTTCACTCGAGTATATTATATAAATTGGTCCCTTTATTTTTTAAAAATGAATCAATTAGTCTCTCTTGTTTTAAAAAATAACTATTCGATCCTTTAATCAATTTTGAGCATGCTTAATTTATTATTATTTTATTTCAAAAAAATTTATATTTTGTCAAATCCTTTCATATTTTTATTTTTTCTATTTTTAAAACAAGAATCAAAATAAATTGAAAAGAAGAAAAATGATTAAATTAAAAAAAATTAAAAATATAAAACTAAATAATTAGTTTTTGAAACAATAAAAATTAATTAATCCATTTCTTAAAATTAGAGAGATTAAATTATATTTTACTCATTCACACGCCAACCTCCCCATGCAAATGAGATGACCCTCTCTCTAACCCTTTGTTTCCCCATCCTAAGAGGGTCCATTCAGGGCTATAAGTGTCCACAAATTCGGGGTTGGTTAGGTTGATATGATTGAAAACTAGGGTGGGTTTGTAAATAAATAAGGGGTGGAAGGGTAAAATAGGGAAGAGAAATGCGATGGCAGAAGACAGTTGGCAATCAACCTCAACGAAAGGTGGCAAATATCATACGTGGGTCCCCAGTCGAACTTTGATGGTGATCTGTAACAAAATATGTTTCTTCGCCTTCTCAAACTTCTCACGTGGCTTCGCTGGTGCTACCATCACGCCGTCAATGACTGACTAGCCCTTCTTCTCCGTTTTTCTCTCTCTTTTTCCGACACCTCCAGTCTATGGCGACGATATTCAACCGCTCTTATAATGTGGACAATGTTCATTGCCAATTTGCATTTTTATGAATCTTTAATTCTTTGATTGATTGATTGCGCTTGTGCAATGTTTCTATAGTGATTTGGGATTAAATTAATCATGTTTGGTCACTTAATCACTTACTATTTATATTGTATGTTCAATTCATCTTTACACGTAACTTTAATATATATATATATATATATATATATATATATATATATATATATATATATATATATATGTCAATGAAACTAGAAGGTTATGTAGTGGACAAGTTTTATTTTAGTTTACGAATTTTAAGTAAACTCTTTCTAGCTGCAAAATGAGAGATTAATTATATTCCATTATAAATTAACTAGTAGTTATGGTATTTTGAGTTGCGGAGTCATTGTAAAATAATTACATTGAAGGATGGGATGCCTGAACGTATGTACAAATAAAGAGAATGATATGCATACTTATATACCTAATAGATAAATGGGATTTTGAAAATCTAAATTCAATACACATACTCATGGAAAATAAGAGGAAAAAAACAAGAAGAAATATAAATAGCTAGCTTGCGTGCACATGGGGTGCTTGATTACAATTTCTGTTTGAAAAAAAAGAAAAGAAAGGAGTGGGAGACAAGATACATGGATTAGTTAATGGTGGGGTTGATGCCTATGAAAGTTATTATATTATTTGATGCCTTAAGACATTATGAAATATTCGATTTAGTGCATAATACGTTGTTAATTAGCGTTATTAGAGATCGATGGATGTTGCAGGTTGAGGTTGGTATATATGTTTGTCTATGCATATGTAGGGTGACATACCAAAGATTGGATTGGGATTGGACTGTCCTTCATTTTTACATATCTGTCAACGTACAGCTCTATATCGGTGGCAGAATCTTTGATACTCAGGCCCTTATATCTTTCCATCAACTTAGTTTGTAATTTATATTATAATATTGTTGAACTTTTTTGTCCATTTAATTCAAGAGTGTATTTGTTATTATTTTTGTTAAAAAACATTCATGCGCATATGTATATCTTGCATACACAACGACATCACTCTCATTAATCAATTATTCATATATAGAATTTTCAAAGGGAGGGACAAAAATGGAAATTTGTTTATAATTATCTTAACCAAGTATTTTTAAGATGTCAAGCAACAGATGCACCCCATTCAGTCGTTTTGGAGTTGTTTGGTATACGGATTTTTATGTCTTTTTTATAATTTAATTGTTGAAAAATATATATATTGAAAGAAAAATTACTGGTAATGTGTCTTTAAGTTTATTCTTACAAATTCATGAGAAAATTTAATAAATTTGATTTTAATTTTAAAACTCACAATATTTAAATTTGAAAATATTAATATATGCCTTTTGTTTAAACATTATACGCATAAAAAATACATTTTATTCATGTTGAAAAGTAATATATTGAAATAGATTCAACTAAAAATTAAAATTATTTATATTAAAAAAACGAAATTTTTTGATAAAATTAAAAAAATTAAAAAATTGACATAATGAAATTGTAACTCTCAACCAAATAGATATTCACTAAAGATGTTTAAAAGCATATATGTGGACATAATATCTAAAATAATTGTGTTATTATTGATAAAAATTAAGAGTATATCGGTCCAATCAATATTAATTATAGAGGTATTTAAATTCAAAACACTTTTTTTCCCTTTGAATTGCGATTCCCATTATTATATAAGAGAATCACATTCCTTTGATTTTAAGTAAATGTATTGCTCTAGATAATATTACATTCTCGGGCATTTAATTAGATTTTCTAACCTACCAAATGCATGAAGTCTTGATATATGATCAAATGACTTTTTGTCATAACAAACCTTGAATGTCTCCATACCAAACGCTCCCTAAAACAATCCTAGACTCCCAATCTCTTAATTAGAATATTGAACATTAGATTATATCAACTTTATAACTACAATTTGCAGACTAACACAAATTTTGACCAGAATAATTGTTAATCATACATGCTTAATCCGTTCAACTTAGTTACATCCCATAGATTCTGCTTTTCTCATCAAAGATTTTTTTTTTCAAAAAAAAAAAACACTGGAAAGACCCTAGCCTTAGAAAAGAAAAGGGAGAGGGTGAAATTCTTCATGTATAATATTCAACAATTTTTACAAGCAATGTTTTTACTAATCAACCTTTTCACTAAATTAATTTTATCACCACGTCAAACAGAAGAAGTTAATCTCAAATTAGTCCTCGAACTTATAACCCATACCACAATTGAGATTCTAAAATATTTTTTATCGACAAAGTCCCTAAGGATTTAAAAGTTCATAACTGAGTCCTTGGTCATATCGTTAACAGGTCCTGTTCAAGAATGTATATTTTATGCAGTAAAGGAGTAACTATTTTAACTGTAATTTGATTTTTCTCCAATAAAAAATTCTCATAATTTCAGAGGGTAGGACTCGGTTGATAATAGATGAACCTTTAGAGAGTTAGTTGATAAAACCCCTTTCTTGAATCGATCGAGAGTCACTGTATAATTTCGAGAATAATTTGAGGTTTGCTTCTCTTTTCCTTGCACCAACCTATTAGTGGCGGCACGGACAACCTTAATTGATTGTTTTACAGTGACTCGTCCTTTTATTACGTTGTCATGTAGCTTTAAGGGAACGACAGCCTCACCAACCGCCGTAAACGAACCGTATACTGATTGGGTATTTACAGCCGTTTTTTTCTTCCTCATTTATAAAGTCTGCTATATATGTAGATGCTATACTTTCTTCTTTTTTTATTGGTCGAAAGTTTATGAGTTTTTGTAGCACATAATATAAATAGCTAGCCTTTTGTCCAATAAAATTGCACGGTACTTTAAAAAAAAAAAAAAAAGAAAAAAAAAGGGAAATTTCATGGGTACTGTCATGTCACAGCAAGCCGAAATGTTATCAACTTCAGTACCGTCATGTCACAGCAAGCCGAAATGTTGAATCGGTCATATTACTAGATATAACGAAGAGCAGGGTAAGGGTATGAAGATAGGGGCAGCCGAGATATTGCTAAGTGTCAATTTCTTTTGTATGATTAATCAAGAAACAGAAGATGACGCACTTGCCGTTTGAGTGCAAAACTCCATTGACAAGGACTGGTTTATGGATTCTTTGTCATGTCGAAAACGAAACTGTAATTTGATTAGCTTTTCTCTATGGTCTTTCTTACATCTAATAATCTTATCCAAGATCAAGCATTTTCCAACCTCAGCATATTGATTAGGACTTAGATTTTTATTTATTTATTTCTGTATTGAGAATAATAATGGAAGCCTTTGGATTCCCAAATTCAAAATTCAAATCCAGTTTTAGCTATGCTTGTTTGGTAGGGGTGGATCAAGATTATATGCAGTACCTATATTTTTTAGTAAATTATTCTTTCATCTCTTAGTTTTCAACTTAATTGTAATTTAGTCTCTTAAATTTTTAAAAATTACGTTTATACCTTTGATTTTAATTCTCTGTTTATAACTTCATCTTTTTTTCAACAGTACTCCATTAATTCTTCATTATCATCGATCAAAACCCTCTTTAAAAATTTCAAATTTTGATATTTTGAATTAAAACTTTTTACATATACGATAAAAATCCAATCTACTTTCAATTTTTTTTTGAGATCAGAAAGTATTTTTAATTTTTTTTCAATATTAAATATTTAAAAAATTATAAATAGTAGAAAAAAAGTTTGGAATGATCCTATTTTTTTTTAGAAATCCTAAA